AGATATCAATGAGAAAAGAATGTTGCAACTAACATTTTGATATTAGTATCTGTTCAGAAAGTCCATGAACTTGGTTGTATTACGAATAACTCAAGCATATAAACACTTGATACTCTACAATTTTCACTATTTGCAAGAGGACAGATAATTTTATCAAACCATGTCAATATCAAACAACAGAGCAATGGTTAGCGTTTAGTGATGAGTTTTAAACCCATGTTCATAAAAATCTTCACATTACACATTTATTTTCAAGATAGTCATTCGATAGAGAAAAATCAAGGTTTTTCAATTTAGACAAGACCGACTTCTCAAAATGGTTCGATTGCCATAGTATCAGTATCGGAGTGAGTAGTCGATCCGTTGGTGGATTTCGAAGGTTTTAGAAGAATACTTATAACATGACAATGGAACCATTTGGAGAGGTTTGTCCTAAGTAGATTGAGAGACCTTGATTTTCTCTATCGAACGGCTTTCTGAAAAATCAACATGCAAAGAGAAAACTTTTATGATTATAGTTTCGAAAATGATCACTGAGACCTGATCATTGTTTGCTTGTGTGCTTTTTACATGCTTTGATAAAGATATTTGTCCTCTTTCAAGCATGGAAAACTGCGAAGCGCCAGTTATTTCTATGCCCGAATTATTCGTGATACAGCCAAGTCCATCGACTTTTAACTCCTCTCCATTAATTATTAGATAAATATTGTATTTATATTACCGAATATTATCGGATAATCGATATGGTGCATAACTTTGATTGGAATTTTTTTTCTGAAAATTGAGTTTAGATTTCGAAAAATCTGGACAACCATTATTTTTCCAAAGATTCCACATTTCTTCTCGTTTAAGTATATGCTAAATATTGAAATAGATATTATTTTATTTTTCTTAAATTCGTAAAATTTGATGTTCAAACCTGAATACAAATAGTAAATACATCAGCATTTGTTCCAGTCTGTTTTAATAGCTATAAAGAAAAAACAGATTTGATTAGAATGAAAGTAATCTTTTGAAAAAATTTACATCATTAATTTGATTGGTTGTTTTTTTAATCCATTGAGATTGTTCTTCATTAAGTGTTTGTTGTGGTTGTTTGAATTTTACAGGTAAAACAAGGTATTGAAATATAATAAGAAATTGAACAAGTATGTTTTGTCGAAATGTTACATCATTCAATTGTAGTTCTAATAACTATAGAGAAAAAAAAACAGAATTTTCGCAACAGTAACTTTGACATTTGGCTATCCAGTGGTTTCATATTTGGGTTTTTAAGTAGCTGTCTATAAAGTTAAAAGAGTTTGCCTTGAAAGTTCAAATAAATATCTTTTTTTTTGGATAGGGAGAAAATAATGTATAAAGTTCATAACGTGAAAATTTTCATATAAAAAAATAAACTTTGAATTACTGTAGTTCAAATATTACATGCAAATACTATTAAAAACTCCTAAGGTCATATTTCGATGGAGACCGCTCATCCATCTATTGAGATTGTTGCTGATTTTTCTTAATCTCAATACAACTTACTCATATTTTATACAGAAATTCAAATGAGATCATTGATGTGCAGTTTCAGTTTACTGATTACCGATATCATCATTTGTGCGTAGCTATTGCACACTCGTATCAGTGTTTAGTGAAGCATTCAAACATACAGTTACAACAAAGAGTATATTTTGATAGAGCTCATGTCATAACTTTGCAGCAAATGTGAATGTCAGTATAGTTACTGCTTCAGTGAACTGGGCATCAGTGACTTATTATTCAGTATTAACATCAATACTGCATATTTCTAAATGAGATTTATCAATTGAAGATTTTCCATCATGAGATCCATTTATTATCATACCAAATAAGTTTGAAATGTCTTTACATAGTTAAAAAAAAAGAAGTTGTCAATGACCTAATAGTAGTTTTGAAACATCTTCCACACCATCATGAATATATTTTATTCAAGTTTAGTCTCATATAAACAAAACAGTTTAGCATCAACAGTCGTATTTTTATTCTTACGAATGGTTCTTTATTTCATTCTTTTGCTTCTTATTGTATCAATTATAAAGTATTCAGATGCTCACAAAATTCTTTTGTCTTATATCTGTCGAAAGATCTTTTCCTATGTATCTTATAGCTATTCGGATCAATCAAAGGCATAGATACAATGTATTCTAATATTCTGTCTTGAAAATATCAAAGTTAAACGTTACTAATTCGTATCGAACTCGAATGTGTATTGTTCGGATTGCATGCATATCTAAGCTCATTATAATTAACCTCCAATGATAAATTGTCTAATATTTTTTTGTACATATAGTCAATATCTTTTTAACATTTTATATGAATTACTAACTTTTTCACTTGTTAAATATTTTGCAAAGAATGCATCATCTGATGAAGCAACAGTTTTAACATTATCTAATTGACTGTTTGTAAAAACATCAAGCACTTGATTTGTATTCTAAAAAGAAAATTTTTCAATAAAAAAAAACGATTCCGATGAATATCACATACATGTACAAAATTATTCCATGATGTTCGTTCCCAAAGTTGAAAAGGTTTTGAAAAAAAATCTTGTAATATCCAAAAATTTGTATAAAATTCAGCTGAACTTTTTTGATGTCTATAATAATAATAAATATAAAAAATAAAAATTTCTTTTAATAATAACTTACAAATCATGAATTTCACCATCTTCATCAACTTCCATCTTTTTTTCTTTCTATCAAATGTATAATGAAATTTTTAAAACATAAATCAAAAAATTTTTCTAACTAACTTCAGGTTCTTCTATTGGTGTTATTGGTTGTTTAGGTTTAGTAATTTTTGTCACATTTTCCGTATTAAAATGACCTATTTGATTTAAACCTATATAAAAAAAAAACGGTTTACTGTTTCAAAATAATCATATTATTCTTACCCGATTTTTCATTAAGCGGAAAAAGTTGTGCTAAAAATGTCAATATACGTCCGGAAAAGACAGTTTTTTGAGTTTTTGATAAACGTTTTAATAGATCTAAAAGTATTCAATATATTTTAGAAAATTTCGCTTATAAATTAGGATAGATTCATTTACCATTGCACATTCTTAAAAGTACATTTTTAACAGACTGAAAAAAGATTGGCTAAAAATAAATAATTTTATAAGATGAAAAAAAAAAAAGAAATTTCATAGAAAATAATAACATACTGATCGCCATATAGAAGCTTTTTCTTCCATAACAACAAATATGTGTTCACTGATACCAATTGTTGTATAAGTAAATAAATCATTAAATAGATAAACAGGCATTGTTGCTGCAGCAAGTTCTAAAAATAAGATATGAAAATGATTTTCAAAAAAAATACAAGAAAATGTAAATTTTTTCTAACCACTATGAACAGCTTCAATAGCAAATCCAATTAAATTTCGAACATTTGTTAAGAATTGATCAGTAACAAATGTTGAAGTTTCCATATCATCAAGATTTGTACCATGTGTAGTTTCTAATTGTTGTTCCTATAAAAGAATTTATTAACTAAAAATAATAAACAAATTATTCTTACCATGAGACTGAAGAGAACAGATCGAAATGCATGTTCTACTGCTGTACGATATTCTGGTGAGTTACTTCTATACAAAAAAAAAAAAGATTAACAGCTAAAATATTAAAATAAAATATATTTCTATGCAATATTAGTCATTGAATTAAAGATCAGATTGATTCATTACATAAATTAAAAAAGAAAAGAAAAAGAAACAATGTAAAAAATTTGATATTGAATTCGGTTGACTTCAAATTGATGTGTTTCTCATGAGAGAATTTTTGTTCACATATTTACGTCTTCGGAAAGGAAATAATAGTTGCATAATCAACTAATCTTACTAGGAATTTTACTCGTGCAAAGTCTGAAGTCAATTTTCCACATGACCTGAAGCGCAATTAATCTAGTGAAATGTCGATACGTCAAGAACAAAGGCTTGAAAAACCAAACCATTCTAGACTTTCTATTATTTGCCAAGTGAACATCATGTGGATCGAAAATTGATTTAATATTTGGAGAGGTTTGCTCATCAATTTATCATTAGCTTTTTGGCTATCATACAGAGAAATCTCGTTAAGACTAGAGATATTCGGAAAGAGTTCGTTACCATGGGTTTCTAGAGCCGAGTAATAAGGTTTTTTTGTACTGAGTTTTCCATCCATATTTGGATATTTACGAAATCAAATAATAAAACTTCGATCTAATATTTTGCCCATAGATAGATCTAATGGTTCTTATAATATCTTGAAAGTTTCAATCGAAAAGAATGTTTCTTTGTTGAAATATTGAATTTCCAAAAAACAGTCCTGTGCTACATTGAAACTTTCAGGACATTCCAAGAATCATTAGATCCATTGATAGTTTGATATAAGTTCAAATGGCGGATCACACTTTGGTTGGTTCCTCGCATCAGGAAGATAATCTTTTAAAATTCATTCACTCACTTGTTAATAACTTCACGAATTTTTTGAGTATTCCATTCCAATTTCTTAAGATCAGTCTAATTAAAACAGATAATAAATTATTTCTTGTTACTTTTCAAACATTAAATCCTTTTACTTCGACATTTTGTCTAATAAATTCAAATGACGATGAATTTCTTTCAATCATCTGAAAAAAATCGATAATGATTAAATATATATTCATCTTTAATTTTTTACACATAATAATCATGGAAATGGAATAATTAATAAAAAAAAAAAAACAAAAATACACACACATACATATTGACTACAATCATTCGGAACAAGAAAATATTTCAACATTCACGTAGGAATTTGTCTGTGTCAGAAAATTAAATATGCTTCGATTTTTTTCTCTATCTGATACATAAAGATATTGCCTTATTTATTAAAGGTAAAAATTACTGTTTCAAATCAATATTGTCGACGAAAAAGAAAAAAGAGGATTGAAAATAATACATGGAATGCAACGAAGGAACAAAAAAAAGACATGACTAAGAACATAAAAAGAAATTATCATTTGACGAAATTTTTTATTTCTTCAATTAAATTAGATAAAAAATGCGTTTCGGTTGATTTACCATCAATTGAAATACCACTTTGAGAATTCTTTAAAAGACAAAAATTATATCTTTTATTCAAATATGAATATTAATACATACAGTTGATTTAAATAAAAGAGCAATTGGATGTCCTAGAATTGTTTCTGCATATAATGATGCAGCTGAATTAATTTTATCAACAACTAAAATAATAAAGATACATGAAATTGACTCTGAAGAATCAATTTAACTAACCAGTTAATCGATATGTTTGACAAATAGTATTAATTAATGATGAAAAATCTTGACTAGATGATGAAATATTAGCACGTGATTGACTTGTTAAAGTACCTGAGCTCATTAACTCAGCAAAAGCATCACTTAAAAGTGAAAAAGAAAATGTTATACATATTAGAACAAGAAGCATAAAGGTCATATTCAGGTTTCCTCCATTCATAGTTCATCTCATGCAAAAAATTTCATGAGATAAATATTATTTCAAATGAGCATGGGAATTGTATAATTATTATTCATTTCGAAACATAATATACTTCACTGTTTTTCGAATAAATTTTTGATATAAATATCACAGAGACCTGTAGTATTAACCATTCAAGAGAGAACACTCGAAGTATATCGAAATTTGATTGATCAGCAATCGACCAATCAGGTGAGTTCTTCGTCGATATTTTGAGGCTATTTTCCTTTTGATCGATACAAGACCGACATTGTTACCTTGTTTCATTTGAGTGTTATAAGACCTTTCTTGAAACTCCAGATTCCAATTAATTGACTTGTAATCATTCGGAAAAGCAACTAGGTATATGTAATTTACCATACTGAGTGGAATGGTGAAATTAGTTTTTAGGTTCCAAATGATTCGATACAGTCATCTCAATATTTTTGATATTCCACAATCAGCTTCCGTGTAACGAAGAAGTTGACATGTCTGAAGTATTAAGATAACAGTATCGAATCAGTTCGAACCTAAAAATAAATATCACTATTCAATTCAATACGGTCAATCATCCTTGTCTAGTTGCTTATTTAAGTGATCACAGATTCCTTGACTAGAATCGATGTATCAAAAGTTCTTATAACTCTTAAATACAACAAGTTAGGAATATCGAACTTGTGTATCAATAATATGAGCAAAAATGTATCTGTATTCTTCTTAAATTGGTCTGTTTTATTACAAAAAAGATTCCTTCTGAAATTTTGCATGATCTAAACTATAAATAAAGGAAAACTGATGATGGTCTTTATGCGTTATTGTCCTTTAAAAATGAAAAGATTTATTCTTACGAATCAAGAGATTTTTTTCGTAAGTATTGCGAACAAGGTAAATCAAGTTTAAATTCAATTGTGTCTGTTTGAATATCATTCGATGCTTTCTAAATATATATATCAAAAGAATTCTTTGAAAAATTATTCTTTTTTGATTTTTCAAATTCTTACATTTATTGAATAAGTCATTGAAGTTTTTAATTTTTGTGGAAATGAAATAGCATTAATAGCAAAATAAATATGTATATAATTTTGTGAATATGGAAAAAGACTTATTGATGGAAATGATACATGATTTGTACTTGTTGTATTGATTAATTTTGAGCTTAAACTATCAATAACATGAACATCAATATGATCAATTATTGATGATGTACGATTTTTTAATAAAAATGTTACATCTAATTGAGCAGTTGATGGTGTTGGAATGATGGAAGTTTCCTATAAATATTCAGATATTAGTCAATTGATGCTATAACACTTCATTAACATTCACTAAGACTATAATGGTTCTGTATTTTATTATTACCAATGTTAAGATCGTCATTTATATGAAATGTGGAAAAAAACTTTAACAATAACGTATTTTTGATATTTTTCTATAATGTCAATCACTTTTGATAACCAATGATGTTTTTTTTATTTAATCCATTCCATACCAAGGTTTTCAAAAACAAAACTCGACACGGTAGTTTTCAGGTCTAAGAAGCTATTTTTAACAATGCCTTTTGAAAAAGCTCAAAATGAGAGATCTTCACATTTTCTACGACCTTCCCTTGAAAAGTTGAACATATCACAAAAAAAACCATATTTATCAAAACTTCCACTAGAAAAACACTTTTCTTCGTTTTTTGTGATACTGTCAAGGTTTTAAGGGAAGGTCGTAGAAAATACAGCGATCTCTCAATTTGTGCTTTTTCAAAACGGCATTGTTCAAAAGGGTATTGAAACTAACGATTTTAGTTAAATATTTTATAGTGTTAAGCGTATTATCTTACAAATCATATCATTCAGTGCATAATTCAAGAGAGATTGCCCAAAAAAGTGCTAGTCGCCGACTCAATAAATCGAAAAATGGATATCGAACAGTTTTTTAGATGTGATACGAGTAAACTTAATAGTTTTTCTCCAGATCGGGACCAACCAATCTTGATCTTCCATACCTCTAACTCAAACAAAAAGCAAAGCATTAGATCCAAACCGTACGAGGTCTGGAAGGATCAACAACTTTCTAATCATAGTGTATATTCTAAATGAATACTTAAAATTTCTTTGATGAAAAACAAAAGTATGTTCTCTATACTTTCAATAGAAAATAACTTTTATAGAATTATTTTCTTTCTATTTCTTATTGTCATCAATGAATATCTAGGAAAGTCTCTCGTAAAGAGTTTTGTGAATTTTATAATCGAACATGATCAGGAATATAAAAATTTTCGTTCCAAAAACTGAATGAGTATGCTTACAATTGTTAAATAATCAGATTCAGCTGTTGGTTTGTAGACATTTAATTCACTATATTGTTGATTGGATCCACTTGTTGGATTAATATCATCACTCATTATATCGAATAGAAGTGGTGCCGAATTATCATTATTTATTGGTTTTTTTTCTTTAGTTTTCTTTTTCTTTGGCTTTTCTTCGGTAGTTGTAGTAGCAGGAGGAGCAGCCGCTGTTGTATTACTAGGTGATGGTACAACACTTTTTTTTTCGTCATCAGCAGGTGATAATAATTCTTTATAATCACTACGTTCTCGTTTATGTTTAGATTTAGATGTCGACGATTTTTCTTCTTTTTCAACTGTTTTCTTTTTCTTGGATTTTTTTTGTTTTTCTGTTATTGGGGGTGGATTTTCAACTGGTTTTGTAATTGGTTCTTGTACTTGCGTTGGTAGTGTTGGCATTTTTTGTATAGATTTTTCATCTAAATCAATATTAAGTGCTCGATGTGGATCATGTTTTTTATTTTTTCCAACAGGTTCATCATTGTCATTATCTTCATTACCACTTTCTGTTACACCTTCCGGTAATTCTCCACCACGTGTTACTTTGATTGTCGGATATAAATCATCATCATTTTCATCAACTGTTGTACGATCAGAATTTTTTGATGTTTTCTTTCCCTTTTTTGATGATCCGCCATCTGATTTAGATTTTTTCTTTAAACGTCGATTTTCTTCATCAATTTTTGCTTGACGATATAATTGATCAGCAAGTGATAATTGTAAGTTTGCTGGAATAGTTCCTTTTGATGATGTTGCTTGAGAACGATCAGCATTATTTGAAATAGTTGGAGATACTTCAGTCTAGAAGACACAAAAAGTAGTAGCATTCGTTTAATATAAAAACCTTCGAATACGATATACTTTTTGTGTTGATTTAATTTTTGTTGTATCTTTTAAATAGAATGGATTCATTTTCTCACTTTGTTTTCTTTTTTCACGTTGTTCTTCTAATTCTTCTGCAGTTGGTTCAACATAATTTTTTGGTTTATTATAACCCGATTGATCTCCACTATAGGAATCAAGGTTACTTCCATGATAATAATTTTCTCTATTATCACCATAAAATAAACTTGGATTATTCGTCTTATCAAAACTACTAGGTTTTGTTACAGATTCATCATCACTTTCCGATGGTGGATCATTTATCCATGCATCCAAATCCAAACTTAAATTATAAAATAATTATATAAAAAAGAAGCTAAAAAATCATATATATATATAGAGAGAGAGAGATTTACCCAGTTGGTATAGCAACTTTTCGTTGAGCTTTAGCCGCAACTGGATTAAGAACACCATCAAAAAGAGCTGACAATTCATTAACATTAAATTCATGTTTTTCAATTAATTTTAATACTGATTTTAAAACATTTAAAATAACACTTGCCTAAATCAATAAATGATATAGTTCTGATTTTTCTTTTTAAATGAACTACATACTCGTTCTTGTGCTTCAACATCACCACTTGATAAAAATACAGACATTTTATCAATTGACATTGAAACAAGTTCTTTAATTGCTGTTTCATTATTATCTAATGTTGTTATTATATATGTTATAATTTTAAGAATATTTTGATAATAAACAGATTGAATATGACCAGAAAATAATGTAATTTTTGTATTAAGCATTGATTCAAGAGTCTTTTGTGGATTTTTTAAATGTCTTTAAAAAATGTTTTTGTAATTTTATAAATCTTTTCTTCGATTGTAAATACTTACGAACTAAATTCACCACAAATCCATGCAGCTGCATATAATACTTCAGCAATATTTGTAGAATTTGAACCAAGAATAAAAACATGAGCATTTTCAAGAAGAACAGCCTAGAATAATTTTATTATAACACATAATAATAATACACAAAATTTTACCATTTGATGACAAGCAAATTCTCGAATTGAATCAACACGAACAGCAACATCAAGTAATTGTAATGAAATGAGACCACCATGTTTTGTACCTTCAAGACGAGTTAATTCAACCAAAATACTTATATACCTATTTAGATAAATAATTTATTATTCAACAAAGAAAAACAAATATATGTATATATATATATATATAGCAAACCATTCAAAATTTGTTATATGTTGATAATCATTTTGACTACAAATATCAATTATTTTTGATAATAATTCATCTCGATAATGTGTTCCTTCAGCTTTGTTCATATGAACCATTAATTTACGTACAACATCCATTAGATTTTTTCTCGATACCTAATTAAATTAAATAAACATAAAAGACGGTCCATAAGTTCTGGGTCTCAACAAAAATTAATTTATATGTAAACAAGGAGTGATTCCTACTCAATTATATCTGAATGAGTTTCGAGTACTTAGTCCTATGTAGCCGCATCCTAAATACGTCTTATCGCTTTTGTATAATAGTGTTACGTTAAATACGATGAATTCATAGTTCATGAACACTTTTCAAAAAAAAATCCTGGTCGATTTTAAGATTTTAATTACCACGTTTCTTCTGTTTATATTACCATGATTAAAAAAAATAATGCCGTCGAGTATTATGCTATTGAAAACATCGTCCTAAGTACTCAAAGCTCATATAGATATAGTTGAGTAGGGATGAATCTTTGTTGACATATGAACTAATTTTCATTGAGACCTAGAATTTATGGGACACTCTTTATCTTTATTGGTTTCTATACAAAATATTCTTTTTTTTTTACCATTCCCGATAGAAGATCAAGTGCTCGTAAACGAATCGATTCATCTTTATCATCAAGACATTGCATAATTAAATCATGATGTGCTTGTACACTTTTAGGATGTGTTTGTAAAATTTTTGACATAGCGAGTAGACCAAGATATTTTACTAAATAAAACCATTTTATTTAATTAATTAATATCGATTTTATATCTTACAGTTTTGATCTGAATCCTCAATAAGTATACGAAGTTTTTGTACACATAATTGAATAGAAGCATTATGATTTGGTAAACCAGATGAAATTGAAACAAGAACTTTAAAGACAAAATAAACAAAAGTAATTTAATCATGATTTTTTATTATTTCTTTACCAGCAATAACAGTATTAATACATTCATAAAGTAAAGACATTGCTGATGTACTATGAATCAAATTCGTCAATGGTTCAATTAATTTTTTACCTAATCTTGGTTCTAATGGTGTTAATGCACCAAACTAAAATTTAAAAAGAAACCATCATTTAAAAATAACTACATAAAACTTTTATTTATTTTTATACCAATTTAATAATTTTAATTAATACCCAATTATTTGCTGATGTTGTCATAAGACGAAAAAATATTGGTGCTAATGCAAGATAATTTTTTGGATTACGTCTTGCTAATTCACAAATAACATTAACAGCTGCTGCTTGTACACCTTACAGAAAAAAAAAGTCAATTTTTAATTTAAATTTTCTTTTGTTTAATTATTAATTAATAAAACCTGGATCTGAATCTTCAAGTTTTTCACGTAAACGTGGAAATGCTGGTTTAAGTGCATCAGGATTATTTAAAAATACTTTATATAAAAGTAGAACTGCTCGTTTACGAATATAGGGTTTTGTTGATGTCATCTTAATTAAATTAAAATTAATTTACATATTAAAAAAAGAGAACAGATTCATGTTTCATACAAGACTCATTATATCATTTGCTAAATCTCGTGCAAGATCAGCATTAATAAAACATGAAAGGCCACTCATAGCAATTCCAGCTTCATACATAGATGAACTATTCAAATCCTAGAATAACAGTTTTATTGAGAAAAACAAAAAAAAAATACACAAAACAACAAACAAAACAATTTTACTTTTCGAATCATATTGGTTGTTAACATTAATACATCGGTTCCTTCGTGAAAACTTTGTGAAGCAGCCAAATAGCCAATTCGCTAAAATGAAAGCGACATGCATATTTTTTCGATGAAAGTAAAATTAAGTTCATATTATCTTATTTGCATTTCCGGAAAAACGTTATTATATTATAATTATCTATTTTTAGGTCATTGCTGTCTGATGAATTTTTACAGATCCAATTACAAAAAAATTTTATGATTGCAAACTAAGAATTCTGAGTAGTAAAAATTAAAAAAATCTGGATCGAAAACAAAGATTATTTGAAATCATCAAGTCTGATAAACTGTACTCGAAAATCATAGGTAGTTATTTTTTAACAATTCATATTATTTTTAATCATAAATACAGATTTTTCTGTAAATTCAAAGCAAAATCTATCGACAAATTTAACTTTTCCAATACTAAAAAACAAAAATATAAACGCCATCTTTTTCAATGATAAAATGACACTGACGAGACAATCCTTCCAACTTGAATATATATTTTCTGTTCAAACTTTGTGTATAGAGTCTATAGGTCTTCTCCATAGAATTATAGCCGTTTTGTGGTGATTTTGCTCATAGATCAGCATATTTGTAAGATGTCTGCAGTTTGAATTTCTAGTAAATTTTTTTCTTTTTTTTTTCACACGCGTATCAGAAAAACCTAGCTTTCAGCCCATACGGACATTTTGTTGGATTGATTCTAAACTTAAAATCCTGTTGATAGTGGCGCCTCAAATTGTACGCATTGCAATACTTATAGGTTGTTTTTGTAAACCTATCTAGTGTTTTTGGTTAAACGAGAAGGCCAAGTATTGTATCTCGTTCGACTCATAATTACGCCAGTCATCATCCTACGCGTCACTTGCCTTTTTATTTTGTTCACGTGTTGGAAAACCGTATTTACCTGAGAACATAGACTTTTTAGACGGTATTCAATGGTTTTTGAATTCAATAGAAAAACAAACATCGATTCGAAATCAGCATGAAAAGCTGAATGAAAGATAATAACTTCCCAGTCAATTTAACAAGATTCATCGTTCAGGTTTGAATCAGAGGATTGTTATTTATGTATTAGCGACAAAAAAAAGAAATTTGTCAAATTGACCAGAAACATATTTCTTTTCACTCGGTTTTTTGTGCTGATTTTGAATCTAGATTTGTTTTTCTGTTGAATTCGAAAAGCATTGAATATCAGCTGTAAGTACTATGATTCTTTAGTAAATACGATTTCTCAGCAAGCGAATGAAATAAAAAGAAAAATAATGCATACTGTCGTGACTGGTATTACGACAAATTTAATGGGACACAAAGCTTAGCACCATCGCTTAACCAAAAATACTAGGCAAGTTTACAAAAACGACCTATAGGCACTGTAATAGACACAATTCGAAGCGTCATCATCAAAAATATTTTGAATTTAAAATCGATTTAACACAACGTCGTCGACTAACGCTAAGAGCTAATTTTTTGTTTGTGATCAGTAGCTCACGCTCTATGAAACTATGTGTGAAAAAAGACAAAAAATTTTACTAGAACTTCGAATTGCCTACATTTTAACTAAAATGTTCTGAAAGTTTCAGCTCGAAAGAATGATCCGCTCGCAAGATATTGAATTCTCAAAGACATGAAAGATTCAAGAGTCTCATGTCTTTGAGAATTCAAAGACATGAGACTCTTGAATCTTTCATGGAAAATAAATGATTTTTGGTAATATAATATCTTGTAAAGAGTACCTTATCATGAGCTGAAATTTTCAGGGCATTCTAGTTACAAGTAAGCTTATTTATGGGCAAAATATCCTCATTCAATTCTTTTATATAGATCGTGCTATAGATTTAGGTTTTAGTAAAACAGCTGTAACTCTGTAGAGAAGATTTAGAAGCCTCTCTCCGTTTGTAGTTTTCTATATTTCATTGGGATCTACCTTATATATAGAGCCAGAAATAAAAAGTAATTTTTTAATTGGAAACAGTTTCTTGTGAGAACTATCATTTGTATTGTGATGAGTATTCTTCTATTTATAATTGCTTGCTCATTTCCGATGTCATCGTTTTTTCCTCTCTGAAATTTATTTCCGTTCTTTTTATTTGTATAACAATCAAACAGAAAAAAAAGTTCACTTTCGAAATATTCATACATACTTTAAATGTAAATTTATTTGAACTCATTACTTCAATAATATTAAATGAACTCCATGATATATCATAGCCAAGCATTTGAAGCTTAAACAGAAGACAAAAAAAAGATCAATGAAATTATTTTTTTTTATTTACAAATCTCATACATAAGTTAATTTATTAACAGCATTTGCTTTTATTGCCATATTATCTTGTTTAAGTTCTTGTTTGATTTCATCAATAGCTTCATTAATATATTTAGCCTTAAATATTCATACGAAAGTTTTTAAGACACCAAGAAAAGAAAAACAATATCGAAATAAATATCTTACTTCATTATCTTTATGATTTCGAATTCCTCGTACAAGATCATGTAAACTTTTGTCGAACATTGGTCCGAAACTATCTTTGGCTTTTTTTACTACTTGGTCCATTGTTGTCGACATTGTATTTACATAAAATAAATGCAGAAGAAACAAATTTCTTCAACATAGTTCATCAACCATTAATTGTTATCATTTTCCTTTTTCATATTTTTATGATAGATGTCATACGATGTCATTCATTCACTTTTTCTTTCCTAAATGATTCTGTTTCTTCGTTCTATGCTTTAGTTTAGATCTGATCGGTTAAAAAGAAAAAAAAGAGAAGAAAAAACAACAACAACTCACAATGGAAGCAGCAAAACTTGAATTATTTCCACCATGTATGATTTCGCAAACTGTTCATGACAATGTTCATCAACGGAAACATTTCGTTCATAGTTTAATAACTGATACAGATAAAATTAAAAGAGTTTTAAATGCACAATCAACCAAATTATTCATATGTTTTCTTGGTATATTTGTTTCATATCTTGTTTTTGGTATTGTACAAGAATCAATGTAGGAGCTTTAAAAAAAGAATGCTTTGTTGAATATTTAACTCATGACAGAAAATTAATATTTTAGTGTCAAAGGAATTTATGGAAAAAATGATAAATTTACATATATTTTATCGCTGGTTTTTTTTCAATGTGTCTTTAATGCCATCGCATCTAAAACAAGTAAAATGTTCATAAAGATAGTTTAATTGAAAAAAAAAAGAATAAATTATTTAAATAGTTTTAATCATTCGAAAAAGCCATCGAGATTCAACACCGTCAAAAATGTATGCATTTTCATCATTTACATATTTATTTGCGATGCTTTCAAGTAATTATGCTTTAGAATTTGTGAGTTATCCTATGCAGGTAAAATGTTATTTAAAATTTTATTTTTTAATGAATTAATATGTTTAACTTGTTTTTCATTTATAGGTTTTGGGAAAATCAGTAAAACCTGTTCCAGTTATGTTGTTGGGTGTACTTGTAGCAAGGAAACGATATCCATTAGAGAAATATTTTTATGTTTTATTAATTGTTCTTGGTATGAAGAATTAATTAATATTACATATTTTAATTATTATAATTTTCAGGAGTAGTTTTATTTATGTATAAAGAACCGAAAGAGACAACAAAGCTAGTTGAAGCAGGTGAAATATTTGGTATTGGAGAATTTCTTTTGGTATGTTATCTCTGATAAATTCACATATTTTTGATAATAGAGAAGAACCCAGTAAAAACACATGACCTCTTCTGAACCGTGACTTTTACCGCTACAAGATTAAGTTTTTTTTTTTAATAATTTTCTTTTCTAATAGATAGAACTGCATGAGCACTACTATATCGAAACTATTTTTATTTCGAAAACATTTCGCCGTAAGTGGAGACAAAGAAGAAATTCATTCCCTAACGAAACAGTATTATGGTGTGGAATTTTCAGACTATATTTATAGATATTTATAGCTTAAGTACACATCAATTATCTTGAATTATTTGTAAATTTCTACTATTATTGAAATATTCGTACAATAGCAATATTCTATATTTTTTTCATAAAGTATGTACCGTATATTCTTTCATTATTTAAATCTGTTTTCATTGCGATATACTATATATTGTAGAACGAGCGTTTCAATAAGTATAAAAACATGTCTAAATTATTTATAAATTTTGCTTTCATAATGAGAAACAGAATATTAAATAAATCAATCAATACTAAAAAAAATTCTTTTTAGATCGAAGATTTTTTTTCAATAGCGATGATATCTCTCCAGCATAGATTACATATTTAATGGATTTTTCTTTTTGTCTTCAGTTGTGGGAAGAGGACATTTTCAAAAATAAGAATATCTGTATCAATTAGGTTTTCCTAAGCTCCATCTATTACAAAAATAATTGAATGATAAAAAGCTATTCGAACAAGCTCTGTAGGATTAAATGTGAAACACGATGCAGCTGCAGCCACTGATCAAAGAGAGATTGTTTCATTCTATCTATTTTGTGACACATTTTTTTTACCATCATTTCACTTAATTCTCCAGAAATGCAATAAGGAAGAAATTCATATATTATTACGGGACGTAATTGATATATGGTCTGTGATAATCCTTTGGTTATGTCTGTGGCTAAAGAATCTAAATTTTTACCTCTACATTTCAAAACTTCTTCTAGATAGCATTTCACTAAAAAAAGATTAACTCTAGAGAGGCAGAAATCATATTGAAAAAACGAAATAAATATTTTAGTCGTCCACTATGTAACAATCAGAATGAGAGATGGGTTATTAATAGGTGTAATAATATTTTTCTCATTTGATACAGACATCGTTAACATTGAATGAAGGTTTTTTTTTCTTTCGTTACATATGTCATTAAGTATATGTCATAATATTCTTCATTAGATTGGCATACAAGTTATTATTCATACAGTGGGATTCAAATTTGATTGTGATTCTATCTACTTATGAATCTCATAGGAAAAGAAGTTCTTTTGGCTGATTGAAAGATATTGCATTGTCAATAAATCTGATTTTTAAAAGTTTACCATTGAAGATATAAAACACTTTTAGAAATGAGGAAATTATTAGATGAATAATTTTAGATTTTATGCCTTTCATACAAACCTAAATTAGACTATTGAATTTTAATTAGAGCATTATTTTTTTGCATTAGATTTTACATTGAGAAAGTTTGTTTTAATGTTGTTTCGTGGAGAAAAGTGGCGGATGCCGGGATTTCCTAATGAAAAAGGTTTTATGTTATATTGTAAAACAAACAAAAAAACTAGCATTACTTATTCTTATATTGAGGCAGATAAAAAAAATTACAGAAATATTTTTTATACAGTTTGTTTCACTTGTCTTCGATGGTTTAACGGGTGGTATACAAGATAAAATTCGTGATAAACATAAAGTACAAGCTTATCATATGATGTTTTCTATGAATATATGGTCATGTTTATGGGCATCTATTGGTATTGTTGCAACAGGTGAATTTTATGGATTGATTGATTTTCTTCAAGCTTATCCATATGTGATTACAAATATGGTTTTACTTGGTTTGACTGGTGCAGTCGGACAAGTAAATGAAAAATTCATTCAAATGATTTTTTGTTTTTTTTAATTTTTCTAGAATTTTATCTTTCTCACTATTGAATGGTTTGGCCCATTGACATGTTCAATATTTACAACGACACGTAAATTTTTCACAATACTTTGTTCAATATTGATTTTTGGAAATGTAATAACGGGTCGTCAAATGTTTGGAACAGTACTTGTTTTTCTTGGACTTTTTCTTGAACAATTGTATGGAAAGAAAAAACATTAATATATAATTTTATTTTATTGTTATTCAACAAAATTTTATTTTTATTGTTAACGGTATTAAATGGTTTAAGTTGACTTTTGTTTTTAATTTTTGTTGGCAAAAAGAACAAGGTTGAAAAAGAAACTAACTCATTATCCATAGGTTACCGTACTCCTGTACGATATTGTTGATCATTAGTCGTGTGCATGTGCTAGTCTTGACAAGAACGCAAAGAAAAAAAAAAGAACAGAAGAAAGATATTTATCGTGCGAAACGAGATACAAAGAAAAAAACATTCTGACATTACAAAAAAAAAAAAGGTAACCGACCATAAATGAATTCTGTCTATCATATTATCGTTCGTCGACTATCAACTCAACAAAATCATTATAAATTAGTTATTATTGGATCTGGATGTGGTGGTCTAGCTTGTGCATCAAAATTTGCCAAAAAACTACCAAAAGATAATATTGCTATTATTGATAAAAATGATGTATGTTTGAATCCTTGATCGTTTATGTGTCCTTGTTAGTATGGCATTTGTTTTACTTTTAGATACACACTTATCAACCAGGTTGGACATTAGTCGGCGCAGGAATAAAAAAAGCTGAAGAACTTGAAAAATCACAATCAGAATGTATTCCACAAAATACAACTTGGATTCAGGCATATGCTAATCAAGTTGAACCAGAAAAAAATCTTGTTCAATTAGATAATGGACGAAAAGTAAAAAATCATTCTTCTTGAAATTATTTGAAAAAAATGAAATTTTGTTTTTATTGTTGTATAGATCACCTATGATTATTTAATTGTTGCTGCTGGTATTGAAATAAATTTCAATAGAATAAAAGGAGCTATCGATGCACTAGAAAATGATCCACAACATGTAGTTAGCATTTATACTCGAAAATATGTTACAAATGTTTATAATGCACTCAATAATTTTCGTGATGGCCATGCATTATTTACGTTTCCAGCTACACTTATTAAATGTCCTGGAGCACCACAAAAAATTATGTATCTTGCTGAAGATTTATTCCGAAAAGTAAGAAAAAGACACAAAAAAAATATTTTCGCATAATAAATATTTTTATTTAGAATAATGTACGCGATAAAACTACAGTTACATATAATACTTCACTACCAGTTATTTTTGGTGTTAAAAAGTATGCTGCTGCTTTAATGGAAGTTGTTAAAAAACGGTTCGTTATAATTAATATTATACATTTGCATATATATAGATTAGTTCTTTTTGTTTTTGTAGAAACATTCAATTAAATACTCGATTGAATCTTGTTGAAGTGCGAGCGAATTCGAAAGAAGCTATTTTTGAAAATCTTGATCAACCGGGTACTATGAAAACATTTAAAGTAAACAAATCAAATTCTTTGTTTATTTATTTTCATTAAATATTTAATTTCTAGTATGATCTATT